AGACACCGGGATGGGCGGAGGCAGCGACGGCCTGAGGAGCATGGGAACCGCTGGCGGCAGTGAAGCAACGTGAAGCCAAAGGGAGGAAGGGACCTTGACGGTTTGAGATCAAACATGACAAAAATGGCAGGGGGTCCCAATCTGCTGCATGTACTGTCTCTTGAGTTAGCGGTTGGAGAGTGTTTGGATTTTGGGCTGCTTCCTGCTGGCGACGCTGATGGAAGGAAATTCGATGAAACCCAGTGGCTGCCGATACTCATTTTGATACACACCGCTGGTCAAAAACACCTTAAATGAACACGCACCCAAAAAATTGGTGACAAACTAGATAGCCTAAACAGCATGCCTGTTGGCCACCGATCATTATTTGTTTTTTTTTGGGGGGGTGGCTTAGACCCAATAGTGCTTTGCCCCAATGAATTGCGCTCATTGATTGATGTCACAACTCTCCCAACATCATTGAAACCGCAGCCTGGCTCCAAACTCCATGGACCTCCATGATGCGGCCGACCGACCCCCGCACCCCGAGGAGAGGCGCTTCGGTTTCCGCGTGGCTCCAACCAGGGAGGCACCTGAGCAATCGCCCCCCCTCCGAGCCTCTTCCGGCGTTCGAGGTTCTCGCCTGAATCATGCAAGCCAAAGGGCACAGGGCACATCTAACGTCTTTTGCAAGTAGCAAAGCTAATTAGTAGCGCCGTAGCGCACATGTTCTTGCTAGCTTACCATCATCAGCATACCTTGTTAGTGTTGCCGGAATGGACCCCCGTTGGGTCTTCAGACACGACCCTCTCGGGTAATCCCTCCAAGCCACGCATCGCTTGGAGTCGCTCGTGCTGTCGTTGCTCTTGCTGCTGGGCTCGAATCTGTTGCTCCTATTGGCAATGGGCAGTGAGGTGAATGCCCGGGTGCTTTTGACATGCTCTTGTTGGCCACCCAAACCGGCACCGTTGGATGGGCGAGAAACGGCACAATAAAGAAACACTGGCTATTTGATGGGGCCGGTTTTCTTCCATCACAGTGGGTGCCTTGGAGTGGGTACAGAAAGGTTTAAGGACGCCAAATCCCTCCTGCTGACGCAGCTGTAGCTCTTGTAGCTGATACTGCCGCTCTTGCAGCTGCACCTGTCCTTGGGAAGCCGCCAGTGAAGGCACACTCACTAACGTACGCTCTTCGCTTGACCACCGTCAACCCACCTGAAATAGAACGCGCCAAACATCCCACTGCTGGATGGTGATGAACTGCAACCAAGGCTCGTTGAAGGTGCTGCTCCTGTAACAACTTCATCGAAAGAGAAGTGTTCAAGAATTATTCAAGAACCACGGCGACAAATTGACGACAAAGGCAGAAAGGAGAATGAGTTCAACAAAAACATCCCAAACGCCAAGCTTTTGAGGAAGCTTCACCCAACAAGCTAGCTACAGTACTTCCCCCAGCTTGGCCCGGTCCCTTGACTAGGCTGGAAAGAAGTCTTTTCCAGCTCCTGCAGCTTCAGCAGTTGCTGCAGCTCATCCATAGGCAACGGAGCCGTCGCCAGAGCATCTCCACCGAAGCCCTTCTTCAGCGTCCCAGGCTCTGCGGGGATGCCCAGGGGTCCCCCACCACCACCCCCGCGGCGGCCCTCGCGGGGTGGGGATGCGCGGGGGGAAGGCCGCCGCACCACTTCGGGTGGTGGAGACTCTGCTGGTGAGGTGCCTCAGAGGAGGCACAACAACGAGTGGTACAATGAAGGATGGTAGGTGAATACTATCACTCATAGGTCTAGTAGGTGGTTCGATGGCCACAGCAGAGACTAAGCTCTTGGATAGTATATATATATATAGATATAGACATATAATTAATACTAACCAGTGAATAGATTGCAGGTTCTAGCTTGTCGCGGTGTTTGTTATCACCTCACACAGCTACACCAGCCCGCCTCCATAGACCCAAGCAGGGATGGGTCCGCTTCGAGGCTCCTTGCGCCCTGGCTTCCCTGGCCTGGGCCGAGCACGAACTATGGGGAAGGTGACCACAAGAAGCTCTGAGGCATGGATCAATGGTGAATGTTACATGGTGATAGTATGTATATAATAGGTATGCCCATGTGTCCACCTATACAAGATAATACAAAACTAAGAAATTTAAGACATCTTAAAATAAGAAAACAAAGCCTTCCTCATTAGAAGTGAGCCCGCCAAGTAGGTCTCCTCCCCCTCCGCCCCTTTACAAGCAACCACTCACAGGACAAGAAACCTGGTCGCTTGAGCATCACTCTTTGGTGACCTGCAGGGCCCTAAACAGGACCCATGAAAGGCTCAGTCGTTTTGAGTTGGGGAAAAGGTTACGTAACGGTTAACGGGGCGTCATGCTTGCAGTCCTATGGTGGTGGAACGCCTGCTCACCAGTTACACTGTTTACCCCACAAGGACACTGACCAACTTTAGATGATTGAGCCTTTCGTCGTTTGACATGTGCAGGTCTAAGCCAAGGATGCGAAAGATTGTCCGGCTTCTCTCAACAAAGGCAATGAAACCGAGATGCTGCTCCAAGCGGGCAGCTGACTGAAAAACCAAGGACCTGAGAATGCAGAGGGGGGGCACGTTTCAAAGAGGGGTTGGGCGTGGCAATGACAGGGTGCCCTCCAGTCGAGAGAAGAGCCCAATCCCATGCAAGGTGCAACGCACAGAATGGGAGAGTTGCAGGTCAGAAATGGGCGGAACTGTCCAACATCACCTTCCCCCTACCCCCCCTCACCCACACCCTTGGAATGATCCACACATCCGCTTTTAACACAGTCAGGCGTGGCCTGCTTCTATCTGCGTTGGCCAAGCGGCCAAGCAATATGCATGACGGTAACATTTGTACAGTTCGTCACCAAGCCCGATGCTAAACTTCCTTCAGCCTCAAAGACTGGAAGGAGATTGTGATCGCTGTGGTCATTGAGAATCCTTGTTCTGTTCTCTCTCGCAGGCAGCAGCAATCAGTGGATGAGAGCAACGGAGCTGCTCTGCCTGCTCAAATGGCAAAACTCCACGGGACAGCAAGAGGACTTGCCTGCCGAGCCAAGAGAACTCATCAGACCTTGGTAAGCGCCCCTGCACCTCCACAAACCGCTCCAGCTCTTTGAGCTTCCTGTCAAATCTGGCCTTGACAACATTCACAGGTGTGTTTTCCCATTTCTGCAACAGAGCTTTCACCAAAGGATGCACTTCCATCAGCAGCTTTTTCCTCGCAGGAAAAAGGTAGCCTGCTGTATTGCGATATGAAAACAACCATGCCGCCAATCGCCTGAAGGGGTCTGTAGGACTTTTCTGTGGGAGGTGGCCAAACGCCTCGATGTAGCGTCTCAGTTCTGCACATCTTCGCAGAAAGACACCAGCCCGGCCCCCAGCAACCCAGCCCTCAGCACGGGCCCGGATGAGGGGTGAGGAACCCGTCAGCAATTGTTGAAGCTTGTGCAGCGGCAGCAGCTTCAAGTGGAAGTTTCTCCCTTGGTTGTGAATCCAATTGCCCAGCACTGCTTCGGCTAAATCAGCACTGCCACCTGCCCGCCCCTGTCGAGGAAGCTTCCCGTGCTGCGCCACAAAGGCTTCCACCTGTTTGAGGCGAGTCTCCCACCAATCTTTTTGGTGCAAAATATCGTCCAATCGGCTAAGGACATCCTTCATCATCCACTCCACCCCAAGCTCCCCTTCTAACCCCAAGCTGCAATCGACAATTTGGATCCTGTGCATGGGAGAGGTTCCAACCAAGCGGTCATCTGCTTGCAAGAGCACTGACAGGAACCGCTCTAGCTGATAGTCATACTTTGCGCCGAATTCTGTGTCACGGTTACTGCGCCTAAATGTCCTCCATGACAGATGTTGCCTTTTCCGTGAATAGGTGTCCACCAAATCAGGGTGTTGCCCAATCTCACCTCCAATTTGAAGGGAAAAGGCGTGGTCGGAGTGCAAGGATGAACTATAAATAGTATCGTTCAAGTAAGCTTCTCCATCTTGCAACGCGCCGGCTTGGTGAAGATGTTCAGAGTGATCTGTCTTTGACCTACTGCTGTTTCGACGGCCTCCGGTACTGCCTCCGGTATGAATGCTATCCAACGGTCCTGCTGAGAGGCAACTGCTTTGAACACGCATCTGGTTCAACCCTTTCTCGTTCCAGGTGATCTGCACCCTTTGTGGATCCTTCTTGCTGCCTGGGTTGGAGAGAACAGCTGGAAGTTGTCCTCCAGAAGTTTGCCCACTTCCATTCACTTGTGCCCATAGATCCGAATTCCAGCCCTTACGCTGTCGCTTGTGATGGTGCACAGGCACCGCTCCTCCGTTTGGGTGCAGCAGCTTCTGTGGAAGTGGGACAGGTCTTACGTTGCCATGTCCATTCTTAATGGACTCTGCAGCTTCCGCCCAAACAGTGTCAATCTGCGTGTCACTCTTGTTGGGCATATTGACAATTTCCAATTGCTGCACTGGGGCTGGATTTTTGACAGTTTCCTGACCTCCTGGTGAGCAATCCGGCTTCTGGTTGGGAACTGCCACAGCAGGCAGGACAAGGTGAGCGATCGTCTTGGCGGGATGATGCCGCAAGACACGCCCGATGGCTTGCACAATGCTCCTGTAGCTCCGTCGCGGCTCCACGAACATGCAAGTGTCTGCGTTGGGGATGTTGATCCCTTCTCCCAAGACCTCCACTGTCACCAGCACATGCACTGGTTTCTGCAAGCGTCCCGAAAATTCCTTGATGGCAGCACGCCGGCTTTTAAAAGCAGTCTTGCCGTTGATATGCCAGGCAGCCAGCCCCATTTCCTGCAAAACCATGTCAAAACGCTTTGCTTCGGCCACAGTATTACAGTAAGCTAGCACACGTCGAAAACGCCCAGCTTGCTTCAAAAGCAGGCCCGCTAAGCAAACATACTCATGGTGCTTGCTTATGGACGGGACTGTGATGTCATAGTCAGAAAGGACTCCATCTTCAATTGCCCGCCCCATGGTGTAGCGAAAGTCCGGCTCATCTTTGTGAGTGGCAGAGAACTGATATAATTCCTTGCACTTGGGCATTCCCAGCGGCAGGGGGTGGTGAGCTTCATCGACAAAAGCAACGTCAAAGTGAATGTCCTGCAGTAAGCCAACAGAATCAGTCACAGCTATGAACTGTTTCGCATCAAAATTGATGTTCTTGTTGTGACCCGTGCCCACTTTGCAGAAGCCAGGAAAATCCGAAGAAAACTGATCAAGCAGAGCACGCAGGGGCACGGTGATCAAGACCTTAGATTCTTAGATAGAATCTGATACAGTTACACCAATGCATTATGTGCTTGTTGGTTGAAGACAATATCTCCGATCAACATCGATCAACACCGTCTTACAAGGTTCGCAGAGTCAGAATTAAGAGGGCATAGGGGCCTGGCTGATACACAATTGCAAATCTTCTTGCCTGTCAAGGCACCCTTCCAGAAATGTTCTCAATTATCTCCTTGATGACCCGCGTCTTCCCTGTGCCACACGCCATCTCAATAATCCGAGCACCCTTCGAACATGCCTCCAAGCACTCTTCCTGACATCGCCTCAATGGCGGATCGCCCAAAACGGCATCCTTGGAAAAGGAGGTGCTGCTGCTATCAGAAGCCAGCCTTCGCACGAGACAGAAGGGCACTACACAAGTCAAGAGCCCACAAACAAATCCAAATAAACTATATATTAGAAAAAGGCGTCAAAATTGCAGTTTATCAATAATTAGTACGCAACTACTACGCCAAGCAAGGTCACATCCAATTATGCCACGAATTACGTACATCGGTGCAATTGGATCCATATTGAAGCCGCACCACGTCATAGACCTCCTATAGCCTGTCCCTTCCCACTCGCGCATCTCTGCCGCTGCAATCCCATAGCTCCAGCCTTCGCAAGTCTGTCTTGGTGATGGCTCGATGCTGGGCACTTGAGCATTCCAGCCATGCTTTGGATTGTTTCGACAACCTTGACGTGGGCGTTATTAGTGAGCAATTGGCAGCCTCGCACAATCGAGACAAAAGGAAAGGGAACTCGCTGAAGAAACCTCATGTTGTCTGAAGATTCGGACTCTGCCATGATCATCAAAAGAGGCAAAAGCCACTTCATCAAGTATCTGTATGTAGGGTCGTATAGGGTCGTTTTTGGTGCTCCAACCATGAGGTTTCTTCTCAAACTCCAGATCCTCCTGAGGCCGTTTCGAGCCCGGACCTTGTAAAGCCACCGTGCCACTCGCAGGAACCGCCGCATGTCTGCAAAGGGCGTCGCACCATCCAAGCAGCGCACCGCGTGGCGACCATCCAAACTCAGTAGGTCGACGCCTGCCAGTGACTTCCAGGGAGATGCGTGAGATTAATTTTGGTTTCAGACATGAGACACGTCATGTTCAAATACACGGTTCTGAAATGTAGCCAGAGCTTTGACAGGTGACTGTCCTGTCTCTACTACTGCCGAAAAGCGTGGGGCGATGAAAAAGAAACAAGCCCAGACATCCTGCTTGCAAGAAAGCCCCCCCGCACTGAAAGAAAAAGATAAACAGTTAGTCACAGTTAGTCAGTCAAGCATAACGAGTTCAATGACCTGCACATCGACGAGTGATGTTTTGGCGCTCGAAGAACCACGGCGGCAGCTCCTGCCAACAGCGAGCGAAGAGTCTTGTGGGGCAGTCCGACAACATCTGCGACTTTAGTCCACAATGCTCCAACTCTGTGAATTGAGCAAGTGTCGCTGGCGGTAGAGGTCAATTAAAAGATTATTGCACAGGATGGCAATGCTAGATGTTGAGGTCCTGCTACAGCAAAAACGTTCAAACAGATTGTGTACCTGCATGACCTTTTTGGCTACAACGACACCACAATCCCTCTCCTGCAAAGGCACCGCGTCCAGCTCGATGGCCGCGGCCCACACCAGCCGTTGCTGCGGAGTGAGCCAAGCCCAGCTGAGCGCCTC